GGACTTTACTGCTTGTCCTTGGAGAGCAAAAGGCCTCTGAATATTGCAGCATGTGGATAAAGTTTATTTTCAGCTCCCTACTTCCAGCACCATGCCAGTGATTTCTACTTTTCTCTGCATGTGAGCCAGGCACATATCACAGTAATCACATCCTTCCCTGTCCCAAAGTTCTCCTTCCTCTAGCAATTCCCTTGTGTTTGTAAATGCCAGTCTGGCACTAGCTCAGTATTTTTTTTACACATCTGCACATCTATCCCTAGAGTGTCCACCCTTTTAAAAATACCCTCAAGTATCACAAGACTGACATGTAATAGTGAACAGAAAGCATAAAAGCACTGTCATGTGCTTTCCTCTGCTAGTCAGACAATGCTGTAAACACTGCAGTCAGGTTTCCAAGCCCTAAAGCAAGTCAGCTAATACAATGCTACATGAGTTCAAGCCTAGTAACTGAGATTTCAGCTTCACTTATGTGATTTGCAGCATCCTTAGAAGGCAGCTACACCTCTGCTTAGTCTTCCCTGAATATATACAAATATCTGGATGGTCAACCACCCAGCTAATGATCAATGCCTGGGTTCCTTAAGCAGTAGAGCACACTATGATTTAGATAAAGGTATTACTTTTTTTATGCTGCCTAATCCCCAGCCCATCTGTGGATGTTGCATGCAATTTAATAAGACAAAAACTTCTTCTGTAGATACTAAATTTAAAATAACAACTTCCCCCTCCCTTAATTTGGCATTCAGATATCCCTCAGGGTATGCAACAAGTGACTTGGCAGATAATTCAGGACATATGGCTTTGAAGAATGGTAATTTAAAAGTACTTGGATAAGTTTCCTCAACTCATTCACATTAATTTGTGCTATTCTCTTTTACTTGTGCCCAAGCAGCTGGTACAGCTAAAAAGTATAGAAAATATAATGAATATAATGCAAGTAACAAAAAACCCCTTTTCCTGAGTTGGATTAATGTATAGTGCAAAAACATCGCTCAAAAACTGAGAAACAGAAGGAGTTCAAAGACGATTCAGAACTGTTAAACCTCCGTGCCTCATCTGTAGTCACCAGGTGGCACCAGATGTATCCAGAGATTGGTGATTAGGTTCAAGCCATTGTAACCTACGTGGTCTTTGAAATGCTGAGCACATCACCTACAGCTATTAAGTAGAGCCCCACAGCTGAACGATCAGTAGACTAGAGAGTTTAGATCTAACTTTAACAAGATCTGAACATTGTTTTACAGTTTGTTTGTTTGGGGGAGATGGGGATGGGGTTTGCTTGTTTGTTATATTGGAGATTTGTTAGGGTTTTTTCATAATTGGAGTGGTTTGTTTGTTTTGTTTTAGTGTTTTGGTTTTTTTTTGTTGTTGTTGTTTGGCTTTTCTTTTGTGTTCTTTTATTTCTTTTAGGAGAAGATGTAAATTAAGATACAATGGCATCTCCTAATTTGGAGATGTTGGTTATAAAACTTTCCCAAAAATGTAAAAACTAATTACTTTAATTATATGCATTTATTCTTGGTCTGAATTAACATATTGTTACATTTTTCACCTTTTCTTTTGCAACACTTAAAATGTTTAAAGCATTGAATTTTGGAGTATAACCAGTTCTTTTAAAAGATACATTTTAGCAGTCCTGAAGAATTGTATCTTTCTGTTGATACAAGAGGACCTGTTCTAGCTTTCTGACATTGACAATGAGCGCTTAAATTACATAAGAAATTCTGCGCTTAAAAATTATTTCTTTTTACAAATATAGCTACATTATTGTAAGAGGTGAAATTGAAATTAGCTATGCATCATACACAGGGTATTAACTCATGAATATAAAAAAAATAGTGAGAGCTAATTCATTTACTTGTGATTCATAACAGTTTTTTTCCCAGAATTTCAATGTTCATAACTTTTATCACTAATTAAATATTTGGAAAATTGGTTTTTGTGCTTGGATTGGAAGTATTTATATTTTTCTTTTTATTATCTGTCTTCTGTAGAAAGAAAACTCTTCATTAGGGACCAAATAAGAAAAAAAAAGGAAAAAAAAAAAAAAAACTAAACTAAAACCAAACACCACCACCAACAAGAACAAAAAAACCCACAAAAAACTCCCAAAAACCACCCCCCCCAAAAAACCCAACCAACCAACCAACCAACCAAACAACAATAACAAAAAAAAAAACCGCAAAAAAGGTGAGACCTTGACCTCACTGTATCTATGACAAAACTCCCACTAACTTCAAGGGGCCAGGATTTTACCACACATGACCAGATTTATTCAAAGAAGAAAAACCAAACAGCGAAAGATATCATGTTATTAAAAGCACAGAGCCTGAAATCATTGTCTAAACAATATGTTAAATATTTACAAATACCAGTAATCAGAAAGTAGAGTTGTAGTTTGAAACAGTTTCAAAAGAAACTTGAAGAGGAAAAAAAAAAAAAACCAAAAAACTTGAAGGAAGGAAAAAGTATATAATAAAAGTATATTAAAGCATGTAATCCTGAGTATTCAGATTTTATGTCTTTAGCCCATTGGAATGATTTTTCAGCCAGAAGGTACTTTTTTATTATATTAAATTAATTGTGGCATTACTACAAAATGCCATTGGCATTTGCATTCTCTTCAGCATACCATGTTCCTAAAAATGGACCAGTGTGTTGATCAGTGTATTATTACACACATGACACCCATAGAAGCTTAATCGTTGTTGGGATCCCCAGTGCATACAACAGAGAACACCCAACATGTTCTGTAAAACGCCATCTTTATAAGCACGGGCTTGCAAGCAGTGCTTATGGTGGCAATGGGCAAACCGAGCCTTGTACAGACACAAAAAGAGATGTCTCTGTTCAAATGATTCATGATTATTCTTCATACTTTATAGTAAGACCCCCAGCAAGTGCAACCAGGGAAACTAAGAAAGCGTAGGAGGAGCAGTACTCTCACACCAGACAGCAGTGGACTCTGGCACTGAAAAAACATGCTTAACCTTCAGCACAGAGAACAAGCCTCTAGATGGGAGCAAAGTAGTTTGTGGATAATTTAACATGGTAGTATTCACACAAAAAAGTAGCCTATCCTTTGTCTGTTATAGAGTGAATCTTGCCTAATACAAGTTTTTCTGTTTGTATGCAAGAATTTTCATTGAAGCAGCTGTGGCACATACAAAAACGTAGTCCTGAAAGAATGAAGAACAGTCTGAAATTTAGTCAGCTATTTTAAGGTGAAACTGTAGACTCCCAAGGCTAAACAGGGGTGTATGCTGTCTTAAAGCAAGTAATTGATAAAGACAGTAGGAGGAGTTCTCTAGGGAACTCAGTTTTTCTGCATTGCTAAGGGGAGCCCAGGGAGCCAGACCAGAGACGAAACACACCTTTGGATGGCTACCATCAAATGGCATGAACTCTGCCCTGCAAACGGCAACTTCCACTACAGAGGCTGGATAATGGAGAAACCGAGATTTAAACTGGTTTGGGATGGGGCTGTGCACTGATCCTTCAGGGTCCTGGTACACTGCATTGAGAAATTCCTATGCACTGTATCCTCATCTGCACTATCAGTTTAGGAATAATGAAATGAGACAAACATAATATGAATACAGTTTTCTTCCCCTTCTCTGACATAAATCTGTTACCATTTTACAGGAGCTCTGCTTTTACTGTCTAGAAGAGAAGGCAGGCACACACATTTGCAGAAAGACCTAGTATATTTCTTTTTTAAACAAAGAAGCATTGAATTAATGTTATTTTATCAGCAAAAATTATACTTTTTACCTATTATCTGCAATTCTATCCATGGCAAGTACATTATACTGTAATTAAAGTATATTGTATGCAATTTCTGTAAAAGATCTGTAATAATTACAACATACTATTCATTGAAATGCATTAATGGAGTACCTATAACACAAAAAAGTTGAAATTGATGGAAATAGAATACAATAGTACAGCTACTTTTAAGGGTTTTCTTCCTAGCAGAGTCCTAGGAATATCATAATTTATGATATGTTATCCTGTCTCCACTATTTTCTTAAAATGAGAAAGATTTGCAAGAGGCTAGATACTTCCCAGAGATGTATCAAGGCAGTTCAAGGGAAAGCAGAGTAGGTATCAGATCATGAAAATCATGAAAATTATTTTATCATGAAATCAAGAAAATTAGATTATATTCCTTTGAGAGATTACAAGGGAGAAAGGGAGGGGAATTTGCACCTTTTCAGTTGTACTTCATAGGATGGATGACTACTTGAGACAGGACTGAAGTTCTGACCAACTGGGTCATGTCTACCAGTTTTGCCTTTCTGAGTTGAGATATGATGACCTCTACATGGATGGGTTAAAACATTCATTGACTTTAATGTGAGTTTTAAAATTAATTCAAATGGACTACTTATTAACACTTCTATTATTTTTTGAATTATTTGTTTCTTTGAATGATTAAAGATTTCCCAGCAATATCTGCAGAAATAATGTTATCGTTATACAGAGGAGAGTCATAGGAAAGACAGAGAGAGACTTTTAACCAAGGCCTGTAGTGACAGGAAAAGAGGCAACACTTTTAAACTGAAAGAGGGTGGGTTTAGAATGGACAGAAGGAAGTATTTTTTTTTACAATTAGAGTGGTGAGACACAGGATCGGGTTGCTCAGAGAACTTCCAGGTGTCCTATCCCTGGAAGAGTTCAAGGTCAGGTTGGACGGGGCTTTGAGCAACATTGTTTAAGGAAAGATATCTCTGCCCATGGCAGGATGTTGGAACTAGACTTAAAGACTTAAAACTTCTTAAAAGACTTAAAACTTCTGACTCAAAACAATTTCTGACTCTATGATGTATAAACATAGATGAATACAATGCATACGGCATCAAAGGAATTGATCTTCTAGTTTTAACTACTGCATGCATGGATGATGTCTGATTTTGTTTTTCTTTTTCCTACTCCCTTTGCACAGTTCTTCTCTTTACATTAGACCAGACTGCAAACTCAGAAAATCCTGCACGTACCTGCTTCTCTCCACTGGGCTTCTTGTGATTTAACAGCAGCTCCACGGCCCCAACCACCTCCTTCCGTATGGCATGCAACAGAGCATCTCCCACATACACGTTAAAACTTAAGAGCAGCTCAATGAGCTCAAGGTTCTCATTTTCAATTGCTATAAGGAGTGCAGTTCTTCCCAGGGGATCAATGCAGTTAATATTGATCTTGAAATAAATTTCTGCCTCCTCCAAAGCTTTCTTTACACTGGCATAATCTCCTTTCTCCACGGCGTTCAGGTAGGCTTTCTCTGAATGAGACAGTTCGGACTCTGCCCGTACAATGCGGAGAGGGATACGATCTCTGTAGGGAGCATTGACGCTTCTTTTGTAGTAGAACTGGGCCATATTTTATGCCATTCTAATACTTTGTCTCTGCAACATGAAAACAAAGATGAAATCAATAGCTGACCTGGGGGGTATGATGCACCAAATTAATATTTGGAATATGTAAGTATTTATAACTCATACTAAAATGTGATGCTGAAACACATACAAAATGTTATCAATAGAGCATGTAAGCAAAAACAGAAGCCAAAACATTGCTTATTTGTAACTTACAAAGTCAAAGCGTATCTGTCAGAACACCATTTGCTTCTATGCTTTTTTAAAATCTGTGGCAAACCAGAAATTATATGATACAACATAGCTTACCACCAAAAGTGTAGCTCTACTTCATCCTTAATTTCCTCGTTCAGTTCTGCAAGGATTTAGAGAGCACAGTCGCCTGTCTCAAACACTGTAAAGTCCACAGAAAGACTTTGCCATGGGAAAAGCACAGAAAGGAGTGACAGGATGGTGACCACCTCAGGTCTGACAGAGGTGAGATCTGGTTAGCACGTCCTGATCAGAGCATCCCAACGAAAAATTCCCACTGCAGCAAACTGCGTAGAGAAGCAACTGCTCATACACATATCACTGGTCAAACAAGATCACCCCAAGTCATGGGAAAGATGGCATCTGCGACCACCAATGACCACCAAAGCCTCCCTCTACCCCTCAGATATGCCTCCATGGATATCTTGAACTTGGACTGTAAGATAAAGCACTACTGCAGGGACTTGAGATAACTTAAAGGTGTTACTATTGTCCAAGTGTTGTCTCAGACCTAGGAGGAAGTTAACAAAGCCTGGGGAGAAGAATGGATTGCTGATAATGGACATAAAGAATATAGAACGTATAGGCCACAAGGGAAGGCAATTAAAAAACTGCTGAAATCAACTCCAACTGGGTAAAAGGTAATTCTGATGGAGAGATCATCTCTGACATCCTACAACAACCCATGTGTTGTTTGAGGATTGTGTGTGGACAACCAAATGCAGCTTTTACATCTTCTTAGTCCTACTCAAATACCCTGACTTACCTGTGGCAGGTGCAGGCACAGACTGCACAACTCAGTGGAGAGCTTCCCTACTAAGATTTTGATTTAATCTCATATGCTATTAGAAAAACATTCACATAAAATGTTTTTCCAACCAGAGATTACTAACTTATAAATTAAAACTCAGAACCTAAAGGAAAAACAAAATCCGTAGGAGATAAATTTCCAAGGACTGGTAGATAATAGTCACGGTTTTGATTCTGAACTACTCAGTTCTAGAATTAATACTGCATTAATAAAGCTAGAATTAATACTGAAACATAGCAGCTATAAAACAATCCTAAACTCTTACATATAGTAAAGTGCTTTTATTCTGTAAACTTTATTCAAGGACTTTGCAAAAAAAATTCCTCCCAACAAAATTATTTTCTCCTGGTTCTATCTTCCACGTAGGGAAAAAAAAAAAGATTAAAAAAAGGGGGGAAAGAGAGAAGACAAAAATATTGACCTCAAAGAACAAGGTCCACAAAAAATATTTCCCCCTGCTGTTCAGTTGAAGGTTGAACACCTTATTAGAGAAAAAACTGTAGCTTCTTGTCATTTTCTCAGATGATAATGAAAGCTGCATTAACCCACTGCCTTTTCCTCCACTTTCTTCAGTCATTAAAAAAAAAAATCTCTGTTGAGGTTCTACAGCAAGCTATAGTACATATTTTTATTATTGTGAGATTTTCATTCATTTAAAAAATGTCACTAAACACTGTGAGGAACATAGCAATTATTCTGCTCCCACTTTTCCTAAGAAGTGCAATGAGATATGTACAAAAGCTGTAGTTGAATTGTTTTCTTTGTTTTCTGGAGCAGATCAAAACGGCAGGAAAAGGTAAAGAAGACATATGAGAAAGAACTCTCCTCCCCATCCATATACAGGAGCTGAGGAATTACAATCCTTTGCAAGATGTTTCCCAGTTCTTCCTACAGGATGGTATCAGTCTACAGTCTGGGATACTAGAGGTTGCACAGTCTGTGGATTATATTCTGTTAATCTCACTCTAAGTAAAATGAAGTTCATGCCCATTGCACAGTTTTATACCCCTGGAGCTAGTATCATGTTCTTAATACACTGTATTTCATCACTTTTCATTCTTTTGTTTCAAAACTGCATGTTCAATTCAAGGAAGTGAAAATTTTTATTAACAGATTTAAATTATTTAAATTAACAAATTAACAGATATAAATGTAGTTCACAAGGAGGTAGCTACAAGAAAGGTGGACTGCCATATACCATGGACATCCGTGGACACTTTGAGTTTCATTCCCCTCCTCCCAAACTCAAGTAGATTGGGTGTGGATGTGGAAGGACATCCTGCCTGACTCCAGCTGCCACCTGACAATGACCTAGGTCTCAACACGGGCTGTATTTCATACCTGTCAGGCAGATGTCAAGCTAACCTACAACAATGTACACACATTATTCAGCTTCTTACTATTTAGAAAGAGTAGTAGTTCTGAAGACACCTGAAAAAACAGGGACTGCAGCTGTGATGTTAATACTGAAGACTCCTCTCTCTTGAAAGCACACGAAAAAACAGATCATTGTCTCCCCATTTACTGTGAGACAAACCATGAATTAATTTGCATCAGTGAAACTGGGCATCAGGGACATTTATTGTAGAAGAAGAGTACAGTCACCTACAGATAGGATCTATCGTGATTTCATGAAGATGACTTGGGGGTTTCTTGTTTCTTTGTTTTTCTCCATTTTTAAGTTAAGTCTGATGAAGATCTTTTATTGCTTTGCTGTAAACCATAAGGAAAATACTTGTTGGAGCCTTTTTTGTTTACCTTTTAATGATTTGTGAGAAGTAGATCTAAGTTTAGTTTGTCTCTTTTAGAAGAGACATATTAAACACACATTTTCATTCTTCTAAATAGCTGTCCCCTGCTAATCTCTATTTCTTGCCTGCACCAATTCCTGAACTTAATTATTCATAAATAAAGTTTTGTTATAAGTAAAATTCTATGTTTACATGCAATTAGAAACTAGAGATTGATTGCTGATACAGTACAGTCCTGGAAGGTGATATAAAAGTCACAGAGAATGGTTCCATGGATGTTTATAAAAATAAAACATTTATTTTATCTACAGGTGGAAAATGTTGTATAACAACTGCTACTGTACATGTAAATGTACTGTGCATGTAAATGCATGCATATGACATTTACATGGAGCTGTAAGACCTAGAAACAGCCAGCAGAAGTACAAAAGTCTCCAGATGCTTTCAGTATCTCTGCAGGAAGAAAGGAACAAGAGATCAAATACACTGGGCCAGTGTGAAGAGAATGAAGGTAAAAAAATGATACAAACTTATAAAAAGTGTAATTATAGTTTCTACAGAGTCCATATAACTGACATAAAAAAAATACTTCAGAGAAGAAATAAAGACAAAATAATTCTATATAGTGCTCCCTGCCATGCCATGGAAATATCAGCAACACCTGAGCAGGAGAAATAGATAAAAAAAGGAAATTATAATACTTTGACACAAAAGTGATTCTTATGAGAAAACATTTTTTTCTTAACAGGCAGTTTTGTTTGCACATGTTACAGACCACTGTTTCAAATTATATGTGACTGTTTCTTTCATATGTTGTTTTTCAGGGAGGAATGGTAACATTCTACCTTCTTTGCAAACCTTTGCCATTTCCATTCTATCATTATTTAATAATTTCATATAAGAAAAGCTGATGTTATCAATTTTAATAATCCTAAATAAATAATTTGATTTTTTTTTCTGCTGCTGTATCATTGTGTGTATGTACATGCATGTTATAATCACAGATATTTCCCCATCAAAGCTCAAGAAAAACTGCAATCAGATTTCCTTGGCACTTATTCAACTTTATTTGCTCCCTCTACATATATGATCATAATCTCCCAATTTTTCCAAGGGACCCTGACTTGCATTTCCCTTGCTTGCTGTCCCCCTACCCCAAAACAGCCCTAGCCAGGTGCAAGAGGAAAATCAGAGTGAGCCGCCAGCAGGCACAAAGGCCTCTGTGATGAGGCACTTGTATTACTGCTCACAGACCTACTGCAAACCTTTCAGGGACTGAAAGAGACTCCAGAGACAGCACATCTCCTTCTGCAGATGGGCATATGTGGATATGCTTCTTAGTATCCACACGTGCAGCTTCTGAAATCCTCACTGACAACACTTCCAAAGGTACTTTATTCCCAGCACTGACCACTGTTAGACTTAATGTAGCATTATAGTATACATATATAGATAAATATAGTATTATACTATATGGCATCTTCTATATCATTGAAAGCACACTTCTGATTTTGCTCATGAGTTTGTTTTTCAGATTATTTGCATTTTTTAAAAAAAGCGAAACTTCACAAGTAACTGGCATCACTCTGCTCAGGAAATCAGAACATTTATGACAAGTGAATAACGTGCTGATTTCTCTGCGATCTTCTGCAACTATTTTATATGCACTTTTCATGGCAAAGAAAAGTTTCTGACATTTTCTAGGTTCATGAAAGTACGAAATTTTCTTTCTAAAATAGATCTGTGACATACCAGCTTTAATCTGACACAGAACCCTATTTGATACACAGTAAAAATTATGTTCAAAGAGAATTTTGGAAAGCAAGACTAGCTCTAATAAATCCCAGACCAAATGAAGCATAAAGTTCCTTCTCCATCAGTCACCAGAACAGACTGCTTCATTTCAACAAAAAGAAAAGAAATGCAGATAAGCCTTTGATTTCTGAACCCAGCATCAGTCCAGATACTGCCATATGTCTATACATCAACTTTGTTATAGCACTGGGGTCAGCTGGCTAGGCTGTGCCCATACCGTTAAACATACTTCACTCCAAAACGGGGCAGCTGAATTAGAACTGTTTTCTGGGACTAATTTGGGGTCCATGCTAACTCCTACACTGTGCCAGGAAAGTGTGCAGAAAGATGTTAATTTTATTGAGCCAGCAACTGGATTGATTCCAGGGAACAATAGAACAACTCGAACAACTTTGACTGCA